CAGACTCTCCTCTATCGGCATCACCCACACCCCCCTCGCCTGGTTCACCTATGTAAGATAAGATTCTGATCACCAGCCGCGGCCAACACCTAACACAGACCATGGCTCTCTAATTAAATCAAAGCACACAGTGTCCCAACAGTGACCACTTGTCTCCCTCATCGAGACAGACAAACATCAAAGACATTTGTGTATTCCCCCGGTGCTCCAGGACAGTGACCACTGTCTTCCCCATCGAGACAGACAAGCATCAAAGACATTCCGCGTCAGTCTCACCACGGAGGAGGACGCCCTCTGTAAATGGGATTTGGACTCCTAAGACTGTGATTTTAGCGCCCCCTAGCGGCAACAAAGGACTACACACATTTCAAACTTAAGTGTACTGTAAATGCATCTATGCTTCCAAATGTAAACCTGCATCTCTGTTGTCATTAATCTTTATTAAATTGTGAGTCACGATGTCTTTTGAAGTGTTTGTGCTTTAAACAATTATGTTAAATACATCTCACTAAACTGTATGCTCAAAAGTATTTGTGTTGGGAAAGAGCCGGAAACAGGAAGTGACAACAACGTACCCGCCCACAAGACGGAAGACAAAAACCAATTGGAACGCTGCGCGCGCTCTCTTGGCTCGCTTGTTCTCTTCTGCTCTTTGCCTCTTCTGGGTTTCGACCCTCACGTCCCGTGCCCGCAAGTTGGACTTGCGCGAATGAGCTCCACCAGGCTTGTTTCAACTCTCTGAACTTTGCTCAAGTTGGATTAACGGCCTTCTTCCCTCTGACATCAAGCCGGACGGACGGGACGATACGCTTCACAGCACGTCTGCCACGAGAACAACAACAAAAACTTCCTCCAGAGACCTCCGGGACCAAAAGCCGGACCACACATGTTTACTTTACCAACAAAGGAACTATACTAAAAGCCATTCACACAGTAAGACGTATCGTTGAATGCCAATGTGTGTAAATGTGTCTGGTTTTGGTTATGGTGTTCTTTGATTCGTGACTCACACTCAAAGATCCTTATGCTTCAGAGGTGTGGACTCGAGTCATGTGACTTGGACTCGAGTCAGACTCGAGTCATGATTTTGATGACTTTAGACTCGACTTGACCAAATATAAAAAGACTTGCAACTCGACTTGGACTTTAACATCAATGACTCTGACTTTCACTTGGACTTGCGCCAATTGACTTGTAAAGACTTGCGTAACCCGGGCCATTTTTACCTTTCTCCGCATCTCTCTTTCTATCTATGCCGTCTCTGAAGAAACAAAGCCTCGCGGTAGTTGTAGCGCTCGCGAGAGAGTTCGAACGTGAGTTCTCCGCAGTTCGCGCAGCAACACTTCCCTAAACAAGCGGACTGCATTCACCGGTGGGTGTGTTGTCGTAGGGGAGCTGGAAATGAGCGAGCTGCAGGTATTTATCGCGACCTAACGTCATACTTTGTTCTACAAACCGTAATTGATATGCTTTCACTACAGGCGCCTCATACAATTGAATCGACGCAGTTGTCACACTGTGTGCCGTGTTTTAAAGAGGAACTGGTGAGTCAAACTAGCCTGCGCTGCTCTGTTGGCTCTTTCTTATATTTTTCTGTGTGGGCGCCGAGGCCTATTATGAGTATGTTTTTGCTGTGCTCCTCCTGCTAAAGTTTGCATACATTAGATAGTTGTTTTGATTATGTGCACTAAGCTAGATTAATATTTGCACTATTGTTTATGGTGCATTGATATGAGAATCAGTGCTTTGACTGATTGAATTAATTTATATGAGACATTTTATTATGTAATGATATATTGGTAATTATGAGATATTGCTAATGCTGGTCCAGTTGATGGCGAGCTGCCCCAGGTCCAAAGCCTAGACCCCTCATACTACCCCTATTCTACAGTAGGACATTTGGAACAATAACCACTACGGACAATAAACTGATTATATAGATACAGGTCCTAGCCCAATACTCATATTCATATATGCTGCACTTGCTACTTCCCATTAAAAACCCCAAAGATAAAAAGTATGTTGACACGGACTGCTCTGATTTTATGTGTGGTCTGTGCATGTGTAACTGAGCCTGCATCTGGCACAACATCCAATTAGATCACGTAGATAGTTTTGATTTATCAGCAGCCAACGACATGGAACAAACTGTTAGTCCATGGGTCAGAGACCAACGAGAATGCACCAGCAAAATGATTCCTAACATTATTTTGTTTGCCTACAAAAGTACGTGGAGACCAACAAGAAACAAATCGCGGTCAAAAAGACTCGAGAGGACTCGAAAGTCAAACCGTAGGACTTGGGACTGACTTGAGATTTGTTGGCCTTTGACTTGGACTCGACTCGGGACTTGCCTGTCTTGACTCGTGACTTGACTCGGGACTTGAGGGCAATGAATTGAGACTGACTTGTGACTTGCTAAACAATGACTTTGTCCCACCTCTGTTATGCTTTATTGAGGTTTTTCGTTCTGTAAAAAAACAGCTAGAATTACTATCAGCCTCTGGTGTTATTAGTTAGTAGATAGTTTGGAGAATGAACTCTCTGGCGAATAGAACGCACACTTTTAGATATGAGACTGATTTAAACTGCTTATTCTTTAGTTAGGTCTTAAGACTTTTCTTTCCCCTCTCTTAGAATAAGCACACCCCTATAAAAAGGTAGATACAAGGAAATTTCCTATCCAGAATAGTTACTACTGTGTAGATATGTTTTAGATATGCAGTGTATCCGAATGCACTGTGCATATAAGGCATATACCCATTTTATTACCCTATACCTACTTTTTCTCTGGTCGCTCACAATACATCCATCTCAAATCCCACAAATCCAGCACCTTTCCTGTCTCCGCCGGTGTGCCCCAGGGCACTTCTGGGGCCCCTCCTCTTCATCATCTATATTCTCCCACTCGGTCACATCCTCCGCCGTCACAACATTAATTTCCACTGTTACGCGGATGACACCCAGCTCTACCTCTCCACTAAACCATCTTCCTCTCTCCCTCCATCCTCCCTCACTCTCTGTCTACAGGACATTCATTCATGGTTCTCTTCCAACTTCCTCAAACTCAACAGCTCTAAAACTGAAGTCCTTCTCGTAGGCACCCCCTCCACTCTCTCCAAATCTAACAGCTTCTCTGTCTCCATCCATAACACATCTGTCCTCCCCTCCCCTCAGGTCAAGAGTCTGGGTGTCATCCGACAGTTCACTCTCCTTCCAATCCCACATCAATAACATCACTCGGTCTGCCTACTTCCACCTGCGCAATATCTCTGGTCTCCGCCCCTCTCTCACCCCCCACACCACCACCATCCTCGTCCACAGCCTCGTCACCTAAAGGATTGACTACTGCAACTCTCTTCTCTTTGGCCTCCCCAACAAATCCCTCCAGAAACTGCAGCTCCTCCAAAACTCTGCTGCTCGCATCATCACCCCAATACTCCGACAACTCCGCTGGCTTCCTGTTAAACAACGCATTGATTTCAAAATACTCCTCACCACTTTCAAAGCACTTCACAACCTGGCCCCTCCGTACCTATCTGACCTCCTCCACCCTGCCACTCCTGCCCGCACACTCCGCTCCTCCTCCACCCTCACACTCTCCGTCCCCCCCAGCCAGACTCATCACCGTGGGACACAGAGCCTTCAGCCACTCTGCCCCCCAGCTCTGGAACTCTTTCCCTCCTGACCTCCGTACCATTGTCTCTCTTCCACTCTTCAAATCCAGACTCAAAACCCATCTGTTCAGACTGTCCTACCCCACCTAACACACACGCACCCACCATCCCATATTGCACTACTGTTTTATTCTGTTGATCCTGTTTTTTATGTCCTGTACAGTGTCCTTGGGTGTTTTGAAAGGCGCTTTTAAATAAAATGTATTATTATTATTATTATTATTATTATTATTACGGCGGAGATAGGCGTGACTCTGTCCGTTAATATATACAGTCTATGGTAGTACCCTGGACTTCAATATATAATCTCAACACCAGACGGCAGTAACAGTGTACCTTTAAATATAATAAAAGGGGCCTTTAGTCTACAGTTTTCGGTCTCATTTGAAAAGAGTGTAAGAGAAAAATATAGCAATGCAACATTGCAATGCGCCTGTCAAACTCCCTCTGTGGGCCGTGTGATTTTAGATCCTTATTAGTTTATTATTATTTAGCAAAATGGCTATGAAAATAAGTGTATGTGTTTTAATGCTGTTCATGTTGCTATCAAATAATTTCTCTTTGTTGACGCTGTGTCGCTATTTAACCACAAAGCTTACTCTGCAATTGTTTGAAAGATACACACCGCGGGCGGCACGGTGGCTGAGTGGATAACACTTTCGCCTCTTAGCAAGAAGGTCCTGGGTTCGAACCCTGATCGGCACAGGGCCTTTCTGAGTGGAGTTTGCATGTTCTCGCTGTGTCTGCGTAGGTTTCCTCCGGTTTTCCCTACCACTAAAAACACACAGTAGGTATGAATGTAAATGAGAGAGTGAATGGATGGTGTTGATTGGGGACTGATGCGCCAGTGTGTTCGGCGACTCGCTTCCGTCATCACTGTGTGTGGAATGATTGGAACAATATTTGAACTCTGTGTCTATACTGCATTTTGTAAAACGCTTTGGGTGACCTTGAATGCGCTATATAAATAAACATCACTTACTTACTACTACACATAAAAACACTGTTCATGGGAATGACAAAACTTTTAAATTGCATTGTGTTGATTATCTGTTTAACTCTGTGACCTCTAGCGTTTTGAATGTTTTGGACAACATTGCCATTATGAAGGTTAAAATGGTTATTAAAGAAGGAGCCATGGACACAAGCTGTGCAGAGGATAAGTTGTGTTTGTGTAACCAGGTGCTATGTAGAACGAGATACATTTATTATTTTTAAATTGTTGAAGACTGCAGTAACAATCTACAAGTTCTGTTATCAACAGAACATGTTCACATATACATTAACCAGGAATATTATACCTCTTTGTCCATCTGCCCATAGATCATCTTTAAGAACTATGATAAGAACAACTCGTCCAGCATCAGCAGCTTTGACATGAGGAATGCCGTCAACGAAGCAGGTATCACCCTCACACCCTTTCTCCATGTTCACATAGAAACCTAAAATCCAGGAAATCCTGGAGTATTTAGTAAATAACAAAAGTCAATTCCTATACTTTGTTATAAACCCTTTGTTGGCAATGACAGAGGTCATATTTTCTGTTTGTCTTCACGAGACTTGCACACATTGTTGCTGGTATTTTTGCCCCTTCTCAATGCAGATTTCTTCTAGAGCAGTGATGTTTTATGCAGCGACTACAATAATAACTTGGTCTTGGTCATTTGATTTGAGAAGCTTTTGAAGAAAGCAATAAAAAATCCTGATCACTCTTGAAAGGTTCATTTGAAAAACTAAAAGGGACGTCCTGTGTAGATGAGGTCTAGGACTACGATAATAATTTGGTTGGGAATATGAATCTTGTTTTAAGTTATTGAGAATTTCTACTTTTTCTTCATTACATGTCAGCAATTTTGTCACTGTTCCTATATGAATAGACCCACACTGGCAGCTGTTTCCTGCAACTTGATAGAGCAGCGGGACATGGCCATTGGGAGCAGCCGCTGGTTGTTCGAAGTTGAATGTCCAATGTGAAACTAACTTCACAGCAGTCTTGAGAGTATATGAATGTGCATATACTGTACAACTGGACACGCCACCTCAACAAGTAAAATCTAGGGCTGTCAAACAATAATTTTATTGTCTATCTATTTATATCTATTTGTATTCATTGTTAATTGTAATTTGGTTGGGACAGTACATGTTAATGAACACATCGCTCCGGATTGTAGCCATGGGCTAATTTGCGTCCTTTGTCCCACATTTGCACTCACGAGCACACACTCATTCACCCTGAACTATTACACATGTTTTTAGTGGTAAGGGAAACCAGAGTACCCGGAGAAAACCTACACAAGTTTCTGAAATACTCAGACCAGCCTGTCTGGCAACAACAACCATGGTTCAGAGCACAGACTGTATATATTAACGGACGTAGTCACGCCCATCTCCGCCGTTCTAACTAATGGGCCAAAAATTTGGCTGTATTGGAGTGACTCAAAATGGCTGCAGGGGCTGGAAAATGTGAAAAAACGCATCTGCGCATGCGTCAGCCGGCACGAGCTCCATTCATTTAAACAAGTGACTTCAAAAATTCACAGCGACTAAACTAGACTGGTCCAAAAAAATTCACTCCCCTCAGCATTGACGCACATGTGGAACGGAGCTTTGGGCCAAGAGCCAACTTTTGGTCCATCCTGTAATGACGTTTTGTGATTAACTGGTCCCTCAACGCAATTGATTCTATCTTTTCAACACGTAAGCTACAGTAGGTCCCATTTCGTTTTGTCGCCTTTCACGCGTGAATCACACGAGACTCACGTGTGATTCACGCGTCTTTTATTTGTTTTTTTCCCAGTGATGCTGCAATGACCCAAACAACCACCAGGTGGCACTTGTGAGCAGAGAACATTGGCTTCTCACTGCTCATTATTCTCTCTTCACCGGACGATTTGCTGTGGCTTTATAGCTCATTGATAAGGAGATGGACTGTGGTGCCAGAGGACTTAGGTTCAAGTACAGGCTGAGACACTTTTGATTTTGTTAACGTTTAAATTTTTTCTAAAACATAGAAGGTCCAATGCCCCAGAAAAAAATAATAATAACCACACACGTTTATTGCAGTAATTTTTGTTAATACTTTTCACGAGGAGTTAGTGGACATGTGTGCCTTTAATATGAGCGGCCTTTGTGGGAATGGTTATATTCAAAGTATTAGAGTAAAATGAGTTTGTAAAACACCTGCGGCGCAGCGACGCGAAGCAGGAGCCGTAGTTCTGAGCGGAGCCAGAGCAGAGCCAGAGGTCTACAGAGATCAGAGAAGTATTTGGTACTGGCTCACTCAGATTCAGAGGAGGAAGACACGCAGGTGTCCAGTGAAGCAGATACAGACATTATTAGTGACAGGAGTCCGCGCCACAATAGTCCACAGTCACCCACAGTTTACGTCCTCCGTGTGGCCACCGCGGTAAAGAGGTCCGGCTTTTCGGAGTCAGCGGTAAAGCGGTCCGCACATTAAAAGCGGATAGCCTCTTTAAGCTGTTAATTACAGCAACATTGGAAAGAGAAGACGTGGGGATGAGCCGCCACAATGCACTGTTTAACATAAAGCGGCCACCCGCTTTATGTAAAATAAGACATTCTTAGAGGTAGCATAAAACCTTAAAGCCTTGAAAACACAGCTTACTGAAAAAAGTGCATCTTATCATTCTTGAAACAAACATTTGATGCTTAGCATTCAATAAAAATATGAAAAAGTTCAGCCAAATACTTGTGTAGAGCAACTAAAAGAAAACAGTAACCAATGTAAACTTGAAGGCTTTAAGCTAAACAAAGAGTGCTATTCCAGCAAAAACAGTGGGAGCCATCAGCCTGTCATGGCGTCCTTCCTGAACCAACAGAGTTTAACATTTAAGTTGAAGACACATAGGCCTATATTACTGAAGTCCATTAATTAAAGTGCATCTCTTAAATTCTTCATTCATATAAAAATAACAGTCAAAACTCTGCCACTCACCTTTTTCTTAAACTCAAAATTCAAAAATAAAATTCAAGTAAGAGTGTACAAGAGAAAAACAATGCATTGTGTAGCAAATAAAAAGGTCAACCAGTCATCCTTTCTTTTAGAGTTACTGAAAGAATACAGTAGAAGTCATCTCAGAGGACTTAAAACAACATTGAAGTCACCAACACAGATCAGAGAATCAATCAACAGTTAAACACATTAAGGATATTGAACACATGTTGAAAAATGTCCATATACGGCGGGCATGACAGTGAATAATACATGTAGGGCTATTACGGGCGCCAATATTCCGTTTGATACAAAGAAAGACAGACTAGTTGTAAGCTGTAGAGTTGCCACAGGACGAGTCATCAGCCTACGTCAGCAGCCGCGGACTGCTATGAAAACATTAGCTTTGTGGTTTCACAGGCGCAGTTGACTGCTTAAACTAAACTTTGCACGAAACTTTGACTCTTAAAACCCACATGTGACAAAACGGAACCATCAACATCTCACCTCAAATTGCATTAAAAGTGACATTCGTGTCTGAATTTGTTCGTATTTTAACTTTTAAAGAAATTCACGGTCCGCCATCTTGGTTTGCTTCGGCTGCCGTGAGACGCGCATGCGCAGGTTTGCATTACATCATAAACAGCTGAGGCTGTGCATCTCTTCAAGGCAGTGTATCTCAGCCTTACACCGGCTTGCACTTCTCTAACACGGCACTCGCATTGCTACCGCTCGCCGCCATCTTTGTTTTGTTGTGTGACGCACCGACGCGCATATTATACGTCGGTGTATTTTTTGCGTCGACGTCACCGATTACGTCGACGCATTGTCCCAGCCCTAATCCCAATGAAAATAATGTTATTGCATTCCCCCTCTGGAGGAAACCCTGGTAAGTATTGTTAATGTATCTGAAGAAGATGACATGTCTGGGATCGCGTCTTTCATTCCGACAGAAGACATGTTTTATTGTCGATGGTAGAGACAGCACGAACAACACACACACAGAATGCAAGTGTATTATACAGAGCGGAGGCATGGAGACCTCCAATCAGCAGCTGCCACAGTGCCATGTAGCTTGGCCTTCAGATAGACAAAACAAGGGAAAAGTACAGGCTTCTGCACATTGATAGAATGATGAGTTTAACTTGAACAAAAGTTGCTTCAAAGTGTTATGAAATCTCACATTCCCCCCTCTGGTCATACATTCACGTGTGACCATCAAGATCGATAAACAGCAACATAACATCCATCCATCCATCCATTTTCTTCCGCTTTATCCGTTGCCGGGTCGCGGGGGCAGCAGTCTAAGCAGAGACGCCCAGACTTCCCTATCCACACACACCTCCTCCAGCTCGTCCGGGGGGACCCCTAGGCGTTCCCAGGCCAGCTGAGAGACATAGTCTCTCCAGCGTGTCCTGGGTCTTCCCCGGGGCCTCCTCCCGGTGGGACGTGCCCGGAACACCTCCCCAGGAAGGCGTCCAGGAGGCATCCTGAACAGATGCCCGAGCCACCTCAACTGGTCCCTCTCGACGTGGAGAAGCAGCGGCTCTACTCCGAGCTCCTCCCGTGTGACCGAGCTCCTCACCCTATCTCTAAGGGAGCGCCCAGCCACTCTGCGGAGGAAGCTCATTTCGACCGCTTGTATCCGCGATCTCGTTCTTTCGGTCATTACCCACAGCTCATGACCATAGGTGAGGGAGGGAACAAAGATTGACCGGTAAATTGAGAGCTTTGCCTTTCGGCTCAGCTCCCTCTTTACCACAACGGTCCGATACAGAGACCGCATCACTGCGCACGCTGCACCGATCCGCCTGTCAATCTCACGCTCCATCCTCCCCTTACTCGTGAACAAGACCCCGAGATACTTGAACTCCTCCACTTGAGGAAGGACCTCTCCACCCACCTGGAGAGGGCAAGGCACCTTTTTCCGGTCGAGCACCATGGCCTCGGATTTGGAGGTGCTGATTCTCATCCCAGCCGCTTCACACTCGGCTGCAAACCGTCCCAGTGCATGTTGCAGGTCCTGGTTCGTTGGAGCCAGCAGGACGACATCATCCGCAAAAAGTAGAGATGAAATCCTGTGGTCCCGAACCGGACCCCCTCCGGCCCCCGGCTGCGCCAGAGATTCTGTCCATAAATACAGTGAACAGAACCGGTGACAAAGGGCAGCCTTGGCGGAGGCCAACATGCACCGGGAACAGGTCTGACTTACTGCCGGCAATGCGAACACAGCTCTGGCTCCGGTCATACAGGGACCGAACAGCCCTCAGCAGAGGACCCCGGACCCCGTACTCCCGGAGGACCCCCCAAAGGACACCCCGGGGAACACGGTCGAACGCCTTCTCCAAATCCACAAAGCACATGTGGACAGGTTGGGCGAACTCCCATGAACCCTCGAGTATCCGATGGAGAGTATAGAGCTGGTCCAGTGTTCCGCGACCGGGACGAAAACCACACTGCTCCTCCTGAATCCGAGATTCGACCATCGGACGTAGCCTCCTCTCCAGTACCTTGGAGTAGACCTTACCGGGGAGGCTGAGGAGTGTGATCCCACGATAATTGGAACACACCCTCCGGTCCCCCTTCTTGTAGAGAGGGACCACCACCCGGTCTGCCACTCCATTGGCACCGCCCCCGATCGCCACGCGATGTTGCAGAGACGTGTCAGCCAAGACAGTCCTACAACATCCAGAGACTTTAGATAGTCAGGACGGATCTCATCCACTCCCGGCGCCTTGCCACCATGGAGGCTGCCAACCACCTTGGTGACCTCGGCCAGGGAGATGGAAGTATCCGCCCCAACATCCTCAGCCTCTGCCTCCTGGACGGGGGACGTGACGGGGGGATTGAGGAGAACCTCGAAGTATTCCTTCCACCGCCCGACAATATCCCCAGTCGAGGTCAGCAGCCCTCCACCCGCACCATACACGGTGTTGGCAAAGAACTGCTTCCCCCTC